GAGGGAGGAAAGGGATGAGATATTCGAAATTTCGAAACCTGAAAATTCTTTAAAACTCAGGAAATTTCTGATTCAAATTTTTGCTTTATTTATTTAGAGATTCGAAATTCTAAATTTCGGTAAATAATAATTGGTATAAATAATTGAGTTTTTCGCTTACCTTTTGGGCATATTCCAGGGTACATTTAAGAGCAAAACTCGCGAGAATTGCTTTCGAAAGTTATTTCTCATTAATGGGAACTGCATCGAGAATGAAAGTCTGCAGTCTCGTAACGCAACATCTATATTTTTTGCGAAATAAAAACAACTCAAAAATTTTACTCTGAAATATATCCACGATACTTTACAACAGAACAAAATTTTAATCAAAATAACCATTATCAAATTACTATATATAAATCTAAATTTGAACCTAAATTTCACAAATCGAAATTTCTCAATCTCCTTAAACGAAACAATAAAAAAGGAGGAGTGGAAAAAATATTTCACGTTATATTTTCAAAAATTTCGATTCCACTTTTTGCGAAATCAGATTTCACAACGAATCTCTATAAAAAAAAAAAAAAAAAAAACTCGTCCAACAGAAAGTTCGTATCGAAGAATCGGGGAACAATGAACGCACAGATTTCCTTCGAATCACAGATGAAATGTACGCAAAGGAACAGCGGGGGTAGACCGCATTGCAGCACTTCCCTTGGAAACTCGATCTGCGGTTACATCCAGTTTCTCCGGACGCGTGGAATGGTTTATTGTTAAGTCAACAGTGGTGATTGGCTGGGAACACGAAACTTAAATTGGGTTAAATTTTAGACGAGGGGACAATGCATCGAAGTATAAAATGGCCGCGACCGAGAGGTATAAATCGTCTGCCGATCGTGGAACCGTGAAAATCTCTTAAATCTCGGGAATCGAGAAGAGGAGAATCCTGTATTTCCGTTTGTATTTCCGCGCGGATTTCTTTCGTTTAACGAGGCGACGCGTTTCCTTCCGTTTCACCAGTGTTCGTGGAACGTTCCAGGTGGGAAAAAAAATATCGAGATCTGAATTACAAAGCGTGACGCGCACATCCACCACAGAGAGGGAAATTAATATTCATACTAGTGTTTAATTACACGTGTATCTGACCGAGTATAGATAGTCAGATGTTCCAGGTCGAAAAGTAAATCCACCGTGAATTTCGTCACCGGCACACAACCGGCATGTAATAACCTGTCATGTCGTTCGAATTAACCGCAATTCGTGCCTCTGAGTACAGCGCCCTCTCTGCACTAGACGCCAGGACACGACGAGGACTTTAAATTACGGCATCGAATAAATTGACGCACGGACACCGGCTCACCGGGATCTTGGAACGGTATTTATATAGTTTTCTGGGGATTGAACCTCTCTAGGGACGATTTTGCACGAATAGAGTAATAATTATTACGGTGATACTTTTAAAAAAAGTAAGTAAATTGCTTTAAGTGTGGTGATAAATTTAATTTTAAAGGTATATTATATTTGGGGAATTACGAGTCCTGTTCAATGTAAAATTATTAATTCGTGAGAGAAAATTTTGTAACTTATAAGTTGGTAAGATTGATAATATTGTTAGTTGTAAATTGTTTCAATGTTTCTTTGGTCATTGATAGAAATGTAACGAAACTTAACCTAAATCACTTAACCTTTTTCACGGTACGGTATGAGGTTATCTCTCGTGAGAAGTTATTTTTCTTTAGAACTTTCGAATGTTGTGATATATCGTGTAATTAATTGAAATCGAAAGTAAAAAAAAGAATAAAATCAGATTTATTTAACTTTATCGTAATATCTTTCGAAATATAAATCACGAAGCATTAAACTCTGTGTTAAAAATTTTTATTTTATTCTATTTTACTCTATTATCATAAATTATACCAAGTAATCAATTTTCAGTTTACTTTTGCACAAATTGCATTGCTAAATCGACAATACGAAAATGTTATACACGAACTACACAAGTAACTGTTACACACGAAATTTCTAGGGAAACCGACACAATAAACGACCTGTCAACGTGACACTCGACAAACCCATGAACGTAGCCAACTTAATCGGTCGGTAATCTCAGCTGAACGGACCATTTCTGGAAATTCAATTTACGAATCCGCTCCCTTAGCTTTGTCGCGACTATCGTCCGATTCGTCAACCCCTTCGAACTTTCTGGCAACCGTTCTTTAAAAAAATAAATAAAATAGAACGAAAGTACCTTAAATACACGACTACTATATGCGACTGTGCTAGAAAACTTTTCGACCATCGATCTATTCAGAATATACGTTCATTATGTACTTATATCTCTAACTTAAACTTTCTATTTATTATTTCTATTTTTTTTTATTTATAATTTTTTACTTCTTTCTATCTCTTATTTTGACGGTGTAATAAAATGAAAAATAAAATTTAGAATAGACAGTTTTTCAGATTTTTTTCTGAATTTTTCATAAAAATTCAAAATAGGTGTTAATTCAAATTTTTCGTCTTAAGAAATAGAACGCAGGAATTATATAATTTTAAGAATCGATAAATTTTAATAATCGCACAATTGAACCACGGTAACTTGGATATCAAAGTTAAAAAGGGGGAGGGAGGTAAAATCCTCGAGTTATAGAGGTTCCGTCTTGTCGAAGTAAGTTCGAGTAAGAGGGGTTTAACGAACGAAACTTAGACTGAGTAGAGAGACTGGGTATAAGGACTTAGGTATTTTTGTAGAACTATGTTTGACAGTTTGCCCTCTCAAAATATACGTATGGTTCCTTCGATTTCCTCCTGAAAACCGCAGTAAATAGAGATCAAAAATTGTGCGGAGGATTCACGTTCGTAAATACTGGTTCTAGGAAAAAATACAACACCTATTTCGTCTTTAACCCACCTTTAATCGAACTTTACAGTGGAAAGCTATACATAACCTCTCGTTTACAACGAGATTTTATACGTGCACAGTTCTCATCCGGATTTCATTTTTGATTTGTTGCAGTAGATAAATTTTTTTTTTAACTGAAACATACAAATTATTGATGAATAATTATAAAAATTTTAATATAAAACTAGTAGTGAATGTTGCGATATAAAAATGTTGGATGCATGGTTGATATCGTTGAAACGTTCAAGAGAAAGACATTGATGTACAATTACTTTCTTAATCTTTTCTTAATCTTATCTTAATCTCAGTGTAATTTTTAATAGTGCAAATTCTAATTTTTTCCAATTTATAATATATTTCTATTTTTTCGTATCGAAGTTGTATAAAATTTATTTCGAATTTAGACCAAGAGTACAGATACATTTGAGATTTTCACTATCTGGAATTATTTGTCATTATTGAAAATTGAGAATAATTTCTCGATAATTTCACTCTCAAATGTATTTTTATTCTAAAGAACATTGCATTCCATATATACTTACTTTGTTATTGTAAATATCTAGCATATTTTTTTATGTGTTATTATTTAAACAAATTTATAATAACTTCCAACATTTTAATATCAAGAATAATATTTTTATATCTCGACCAAAATCTGCTTGTCAATTTACAATTTTAAATGTAATCTCCACATTTACGTCAATATTATCCATTACCAGTGTTCCCAATTTACGGTATGTATTCGAAACGGAAAATAACCAGGGTGGGTGGTTCCGCATCCATATTCATATAATAAGTTTAATTGAATTTTATCAGAGACAATGGGGCTTTTCCTGGGGCTGCATTTGCAAGGAACATTACGCGGCTTTACGGGTCAACCAGTCAAGATTAGCATAACTGTTATCGCCACAGTTATCTCCTCTTCTCGGACGGCGTTCATTCAGGTCGTAAGTTTCGTTTAAACGCGACGTATTTTCACAACGCTTACATTCTATGTCACGTGTATCATACGTGTAATTCGTAAATATCGATTTATCGCACTAATTCTAACGATCCAATGGTTCGAACCCAGTCATCTTATCTAATTTAACTTAATTTAATTTAGTTTGATATTTGCTAATTAAAACGTGTGTATTTGAACCTGTTGAATAACGAGAATTAAAATAATTTTTTAATGTTCGAGTCATTTTTGACTCGAGATATTACTTCAAAGATGAATTAACGAATCTTTATTTCTGGCAGAATAGACGCGATGAAAATATTCAAATGTACGCGAGATCGTAAAATTGATCGAACCGTTAAGATTCACGCTCGATATACGTAAAATGAAATATTTTAAGACTATTCAAAATTAGACTTTCGGATATTATTATTATGGATATATATTTAAAATTATAAATTAAAATGTTAATTGATATAATAGCTCAAAGAATAGTTGTCTTCTGAATATATAAATTTTAAACGTCTAATCGATTTTACGATTTCACTATATCGCTTCCATCGACTATGAACTTCACAAATCAATCAGTGTCAGTTACGTCAGTCTCATTTTAAAAATGAGATGAAGTAGTTACTTAATTCGCATGTCAATTAAATTTAAAATATTAGAGATTTTTGAATCACGTATCAAATCAATTTTAGAAAATGAAACTTTCACTGATTGACTTCTGAACCTTTCTATATCGCTTCCACCTGTAGCATGAATGATATACATGCTTACTTGTAAAGCCTCAATCGAAGCGTCTAATTCGCACGTTATACAAATATATATATATATATATTACACATTAAACAATAAAACATCCGTTTTGCAAACTCGACATTCCGGCACTTTAAATAAAAAAATATTCCCTTTTCGATATTTTTGAATTTTTCCACGAAATGATGGTCAAGGACCCGCACATTGAAAACAAGCCAATCGTGCATACGAATATCACAACGAGTCGAAACAAATAATGATTTTCTTATACGCATCGATCGTAAACAAACATTTGCAGGATTCCAAGTTCCGCCATTTTTATACACACGCCACCTGCCATACACTACGTATACCAAAATATCTCGCGATTGAGAACAAATCGAAAGAAGGATCGCTCTCTACCCAATCCATCGTACGAACAGTGACTGGGAAAAGGTGTAGACGATCGCCGAATAATTCTAATGGTTCGAATGAAAAAAAAAAAAAATCCAATGGGTGCAATCGAGTTCCCCTCGATTCGAGTGGCATGGTAATTAGTTGCTCTGTCGGTAATCGCGCGACAGCGCGCGTAATAATTCATTAGAACGACGTCTACGTGTTCAAAAGGGTGGGGGGAGGGGAGTGGGGAGGGGGGAAGCGTGACAAGTAATTATCCATACACTTCATTTTGAATGGGTCGGGTTAAATCGGGCAAAGCCCCGGACAGTCGATAAGAGGGTAAACTAGATACTACATGCTTCGAGGAGGCCCTCCACTGATTATCTCGACTCATTCGTATAGCACTGCCGCGCAACAGTTTACGACACGGTGAAAAGAGAGAACGAAGGAGAACACGCTCGGTTTAATCAGACACCGCTAATTACGCCCGGTTCTCGATTTCGACGAGGGTTAACTCGCGATGGAATCTCGCTTATTCACTTCGTGCAAAGACAGGCATGTTGCATGTTAAACGATTTTCAAAGAGAGGATTTTTTTTTTTAAAGATCGAGAGACGACTCGCGTTTGTTGGATTTTTCGCGTAGGGGGCTTGTGAATAACTGGGTCAAGTCGTAAGGATTTTTTGGAAAAAAATTAAGTAGCGTAGGAGATGAAAGTATTTTTATAATTATATAGAATCGGAAAGAATGAATAATCGAAAGGTTTTATTTTACGAAGTGAAAAATTCTTTGATAATTCTTTGTAGAAAAAAACTCCGATCACCGATTTCAATGATTTTTAAATATTATGGAAAATAAGATTATCCTATATCGATATATTATTATTTTATTTAAAAAAAAAAGATTTCTTTTACGTAAAATTTCGTTCATACGTATATAATTACTTTTCGTTAATTGTCCTTTATTAATGTATATAAAAATCATCGAAATCAATGAAGTATATCCTTTTTTATGTAATTATTTATTTATTTCTTTTTCGAAAAATATATAGGGTTCAATTTATATAAATGATTTCAAAACACCATATCGCTTTCATCGTTTTTATCATCTTAATTTTTTTCTTACGAAAACACAGACGAAACACAGACGAGAACAATGAGTCAAGACGGAGATAAAATTAAAAAAGAGTTGAACTGGGATGTTCGATTGAAACTGGAGATGATAATTGATTCCAGGTGAGGCCGAACGACTACTACAAGAGTATCGACAAAACCAAGAGCTAGTACAAAATATCGGGGCCCATTACTATCAGATCATCTATCCAGTACAGTTACGGCATCACGAGAAAATGGGGATATCCACAAGAGAAGTGAGCGTATCCAAGGTAATTAAACTTTTCCTCCGAACGATATCGAACGAACGAAAGTCTATTCGAAATTTTTCTTTCATCGAAAATTGATATATTTTATGATGTCGAAACTTTGTCACTTTCTCACGATCGAAAGCCTATCTAATTTTTTTTTTTATCGAGAATCTATAAACTTTACAGCATCGAAACTTTTTGACGATTCGAAGATTTTGCTATGAACTTTGTTACCTTTTTTGACAATCGAAAGCCTATCGAGTTTTCTTTACAGAATCGATATATCGATCGATATATTTCGTAATAGAGAAACTTTAGAACGATTGAAAGCTTATCGAATTTTTTTTATCGAGAATCGATAAAATTTATAACATTGAAATTTTGTCATTTTTTGACAAGGCTTATCGAATATTCTTTATAGAATCGATATTGATCGATATATTTTTTAATAGCGAAATTTTATAACCATTGAAAGCCTATCGAGTTTTCTTTTATCGAGAATCGATAAAATTTATAATATTGAAATTTTATCATCTTTTGACAAGGATTATCGAGCATTCTTTTATAGAATCGATATTGATCGATATATTTTTATAACGAAATTTTGTAGCGATTAAAAACCATCGAATTTTTTTTTATAGATATTCTATAAACATAGATTGATATATTTTATTTGAAACTTTTATAGAAGGCTTATCGAATTCTTTTATAGAATCGATATTGATCGATAGTCTCTTTTCGACGAAGACTTTTGTCGAAACTTTTTTACAATATTCAAGAATCGATATCGATCGATACATTTTATTATAACATCTTTGAAACTTTGTCACTTTTCAGTTTCCTCAAAGAGGATACGGAGAGGGTGGATATCAGAATGTTAAAGGCAGAATGAGAGTAAGTGTACGGAAGTTCGTAAGGAAGCGATTAACAAGACAAGTTTTCGATACGTTTAACGAGACAAGTTTTCTTTGATTTTCAGACGGGGAGACATTTTCATCGGACGTCCCTCTTGATCAAGGCCTTTAATCATAAATTTCGCCTAGATTTAGAATTAAATACGTAAGTGTGTATACACGGCAGTGTTCCAATCGAATTTCACCGATTAAACGAAACGATAAATAGTACAAAGAGTTGCGTGTGTTGCAGGCAACTTTTAGCTCCGAATCTTGTGCAAAAAGACTTTTTAACCGTCGGTGCGGAACAAACTTCTAAACAGGTAATATAGACTTTTCTGTTTCCTTAAATTTACTATATTACAGTGGAATATAAATTGAATAATAGATATCGTGTGTATGGGTGTGTATCTTTTCTTTGGAAATTTTTCCATTGTATCAATTGGATAAACAAAAAGAACTGATTGAATTTCTCGATTGAATGGTTACAGGAGATAGAGCACTGTTACTATCACGGTACCGTGAGGGATTATCCAGGAGCTAGCGCTGCTTTTCACACGTGTAACGGTGTCAGCGGTGTCATTCATTTAGGCAACGAGACATTTGTCATTCATCCATTTTACGGCGGCGATTTGTCGGTCAGTTTAATTATTCGAAGATTATCCGACTATCTATCGATACTATGTAACCGCATTCTTTGAATAATCCCGTAATTTTTCCTCGAAAAATAATATAAAAACTAATCTCAAAACGTTTCATCCATTGAAACTAATCGCTATTTTATCGGTCGAAATGAAATAACCATTAAACCAATCGTTCGATGAAACGATACTAAAAAAAAAAAAAACGATTTAAAAATCAAAAAGTAATATCCTAACCTCAAAACCGGTTTCATCCATGAGTTGAGCATTAACCCTAAGTTCAAACTAGTTAAAAAATTTCGAATAAAGTTACTTTTAAGCTACTTTAAACAAAATTACTTATTAAAATGCTTGAATAACATTTACTCGTAGCCGTTATAGTTGACCCACTCTTCGCATAAGCTCGACCAGTTATCTGCGATTATTCGATGCTTCGAGTGATAAATTATTCGAGCAATTTATCGAAGTAATTTTACTCTTAACTTCAACCGTTAAAATTTTCCCCATCTCTGAAATTCTAACTCGATGATAAAATGATAAATTAAAATTTCAAAAATTAAAATTAAAAAAAAAAATGAACTCGAAGGAATAATGTAACGGGTTGTCCAAGTTTGCTTCATAGAGGGATGTGGACAGAGAGATGTTTGACTGGATCCAGCCGGTATTTCAGGGACGGCAAACATGGCCGGCCATTCGATCCAGTTTCGTTAGCGGGGCAGACGAAGTGAGAGAGGATCGAGTTAAGCCGCTATCAACCCGGCTCGAGTCGTAAACGGGTAATCGGTTGGCCCCTCTAAATTCCGTCTCTGCGTTGTTTCGCGCACATGTTTCTACGTTTATCTAATGCCGATCCGAGGAAAATGGATTCGATAGTTTTGTGTCGAAATCGATCAGCCACGAGCTAATTTCCAACAGTTTTCCGTTAAGTTTCTGCTTCGAATTTCGCTGAACGACGAGAAATAGATAGGCGTTAACAATGCCAGCCAAGGATTGATGGTTAAATAGATCGTGATCGTTCTCTTTTCGTGCGTAGTTAAATTGTTTTATTTGCGAGGAATTTAATTCGTTCGTACGTGACTCGTATCCGATTGAGACAGGTTATGTTAAATCGAAGTTTAATTAGTTATTTATGGAGCAAGATACAATGAGACGTGCTTATAATTTGATAATTATATCTGGATATTAAAAAAAGTTATATCATGATTAGATAAAATAATGATTAAATTTGTTATTAGTGAAAAAATTATACACAAGATTTTAAAAATCTTTAAGTCTTATATCGTTTATATCAAGAATTTTGATCGTTGCACAAACAATAGAGAATCGAGACAGTTTATCCTGTAAATTAAAAATTTCGACGTAAAAAAAAGAATAGCTATCCGAAAAAAATGAATTGCTTCGTTTATAGGAAAATTTTGCAAGGTAGAGAATGAAACGACAGGGATAACCTATATATGCTTGTCCGACACGAGTTAAGTGAGGGGGATCTTATATGCACGAGTTGTGCCTTCATTATTATTCATGAAGGGATCTCGAAGTAACAACGTGGCGAAAAAAAAAGCAAAAATACAATTTCTCGTCGTGCGCATCTCGCGAGAAAATCAGGATGCGCGAATATCACCTTCTAAAAAATTCAATTGTCGGGTGAATTTCGTGAACTCTCTGTGTCTCTCTCTCTTTCTCTCTCTCTGCTTTTACGCGGTTGCCTCCATCGATGAATAATATTCGAAAGTAAAGCGAATCGAGAAAGAGGATCCAGTCGGATGGACGGATTCGGGACGCGGCAAGGTTCGGTGGATTCTTTCAAATGGCGCTACGTAACAATTAACCGAGAAAAAGTTGGACGAAGCCGATAGTAGGTCATGATCCTCGCGCAGATGCGGGAACAAAAAGCCCGCGGCCCTACTGGTTATAAGCCATAATCGAATAGAGGAACGGGCGTTAAAAGGCGGGCGGCGGGCTGCTCGGAGAATGTTAACTATATGCAGACCTCTCTTTTAGCAGAAACATCCTCACGTTATATTTGAAGCTCGAACAAAGGCTAACAAAGGCTGCGCTAACTCGGGAAATCTTGAGTGGCGTGTAAAGAACCGCCGGCAGAAGCATGTTCTGGGGCTATCGGAGACCACTTCCGATCGATATAAGAGAGACGTCCGTGAAACAACCAAATACATCGAAACTGCCATCATTATCGATAAGGCTATGGTATTGAAACTTTATATTACTTCTTCTTTGTGTTTTACGTCTTAAGAATCGTGCGCGATCGTCACGTGATTGAGAAACTAAAGCTTCGGGACTGATCGGAGAAATTCGGTCATGATCGGGCGGGATCCCGAATCTATTGGATTTCAATTGACTCGGCAATGATCGGGCATGATCGGCTAAAGAAAATTTAACGATTCGAACCGATCTATATTGGAGCTTTCGAGACGAGTATTACGATCCCATCCGAATTTTTCCGATTTATCCCGAGTAAGTAATTTTGAAATATCAAACACTTGTACTATTTCCACTATTTATAGTATTTTATTCGGTCGCATTCGATAGTTATTGGCCGGCAAAGCACACGAAACGTGTCTTCAAAAGCAATGAGAATTAAGAGAGTGCCAATTACGGTTGCAATCGTTAAAGGAAAGCATGACGACGTCATTGAACCAAGTTTCGAAGAATTGGCTCTAAATTCACTTCATCCTTCCCGACATGCTCGGGTAATTCAACGATAATAGTTATCGAATGTCGGAAACGTAAAACGAATCGATACTATTGACTTTAACGATATCAATTGTCGTAAATAAAAACGTAAAATCGATCGTTAAACATTTTACTATCCTTTACAGGCCTCACAAAAATATTCTCTTTTCCTGATTTTTTAGTTCGAGAAGAGGAACGGTAGCACCAGAGCGGAGGTTGTTCACGATGCCATCCAAGTCGCTAATATCGCGGATATGGTGAGTGTAATAGGTTAGAAAATCAAGATGAAACGAAAATTACCTTTTATAATTTTCAACGTATATTTTTCCGATACCCCAACGAAAAATTTAGGAAATAGTAAAAGAGTTTCGATTTTTTTCGTTCAATCTTTACCTTTATAACAATATAATAACCGCGAATAAAGGATTTTAATTAATTTCAATTTTCTTTTTCACAGTATTTCCGCACGTTAAATACTAGAGTCTCCGTCATATACATCGAAACCTGGCAAGGCATAAACCAGGCGGAAATCGCGACGGGCATGGATATCGATCTCGCTTTGCTCAATTTAAACGATTACATGATGCGAACGATGTTCCGTGTTCCTCGTGATACCACTCAATTACTCACGTAAGTATTCATCGTGTGAATGAATTTCATTTAATCCATTCTGAGATCGACTCGAGATTGAAATTCGAATCACATACACAGGGGTGAAACGTTCGCCGGTGGAGAATCAGGTGTTGCCATACCTTCGACTATCTGCAAACAAAAATCCGTAGGAATCAGCGTCGATTTGAATACATACGAACCTCATCTTTTAGCCGGTACTATGGCTCACATGATCGGTCACAATATAGGAATGAGCCATGACGATGGAAGTTAGTTTCTACTCATACAAATATACTTTTTTTAATAAACGTTCTGACGAATAAGTCTGAAATTAGGTAGTATTTGAATTCAATAGAATATATAAAGAGCCTAGAAAACATTCTATTTGTAATCACTCTTATATATAAATGTTTAGACATTTATGCAAAATTTGAATATACAAAATTTTACAAAATGTACATGATATGCATTAACACACAAAATGTCACAATATTTAAATGAATCTTTATTTAAATTCCTTTAAAAATTTGATTTCGCACAAACAATTTATTCATAAGAGTTTATCTGATTCTTTCCATTTGTCAGAACGTTTGTTAGTTAGTCGTGAATGAAAAATTTATCCATTGGAATCATAATTTAAAACACGTTTTTCATTAAAATGTAATTTTCTCTAGGGAGCGAGTGTATCTGCCGCGAATGGCACGGATGCATCATGGCTCAGTCGATCGTTGGACTGGAGAACGTTCAGCCGTACACGTTTTCCGAATGTAGTAAAACAGATTACATAGAGGTGTTAAGAAGCGGAAACGGCTTTTGTCTTTTAAATAAACCAAACGAGGTAAAAGGATTGAACGAATAAAGCTACGGTTTGAAACGAAACGAGCCCAGTCGAGCCCAATTTTACGAGCGCACGATAACAAATCACGAGGGTGCTTGAAACTTTCAATAAGTATTTCCTATCGATTTCTAATGGTCTTAAACGTAAAGTTTTCTTATCTTCGACTCGTTTCATCTCAAGCCAGCTTTTAAATGTATTCTATGACGAGAACTGTTGGAATTATTTCGAATCTCTGTACACGGTGACAATACATTTTGAAGAACAGTTTTTGATTGCAAAGATCAAAACAAACATAAAAATTGTTAAGGCCTCTTTATTGGATTACAAGCAATTGAAGTTCGTATTAGATGAAACGAGGATAGAGCTTATAAGCTTCAATTATTCACCGACATTTTTACATAAAAATTATTAATATAATTGAGATTTCACAAATCTCATCAATAAGAGCCTCTAAGTTTTTTTTTCACGCGATAATACTTCTATGATACTGATCACACATATAGGAAACCTTAAACCGTTTTCACATCACTCAATTCTTATAATCTTTCACTTTATTATTCCATTCTTTTTATAACTTATATTTTTCATGCCAATGGATCAGCATGACCAGCATAATTGTAATTAAAAGCCATTTAGAGGATACTGTTAAAGGAAATTCTTTCAAAGAATCTCATTTTTCAGGTCGAAGTGAGGAGATCATGCGGAAACAGGGTAATCGACGAGGGAGAGCAATGTGATTGCGGATCGATCGAGGAGTGTCACGAGTACGATCCTTGCTGCGATCCGATCACCTGCAGGCTCACCTCCGAAGCGCAATGCGCGACCGGCCCTTGCTGCAGCGATTGCAAGGTAAAATATTTCTCCTGCATTCCACTTCCTCCCTCTCTCCACTCCTCTCCCCTCCTCACTGACTCTACAATTCTCCAATTTCTATCGCGGACCAACATCTTGGATACGTTCCACGTCAAACATTCCGCCTCCATCCTCCCCCCTCTTTGCCTAAAGATGTACGTGCCCGATAGCCACGAGTACAATAAACGCGTCGATAAATGGAAGCGGACAGAAGGTGTGTAGAGGGCCGAGGAGGGTAAATAGATAGGGAGATGAGGATCTCTTTCTCTCTTCTCTACACCACACGGGATCACTGCTTTGGACTGCTTTGAACCTCGGCTCAGATCTAATCTCGAGCGATTTTGAAAATGCAGCTGCTCGCGCGTGGCGTCGTGTGCCGGGAATCGACCAACGAATGCGATCTTCCGGAAGTGTGCACCGGGGAGACCGGCCAATGCCCGACGGACGTCTACAAGAAGAACGGGAATCCTTGCTCCAACAACGATGGATATTGTTATAACGGTGTCTGCCCAGCGTTGAATCTTCAGTGCGAGCAGATATGGGGATACGGTGGCGTTGCCGCGGACCAACAGTGCTTCGAGCAATTCAATTCCAAAGGATCGTTGAGCGGACACTGTGGCACTGACTCGTCCGGTCATTACATCAAATGCGAGCTAGAGTAAGGATAAATTTATTCTATTGTATTTCTCAATTTGATCCTTAATGTATCGTGGATGAATTAAGTTCTCATATTCTGGTTGTTGTAATTTCACTTTTTTTTCTTTTTTTCATGGTTGCAAGAGACTGATTCACGTTTTCCGATCCCGAGAGTTAACTTGGTGAACAAAACACGTTGGAATGTAAGGAATGGAAGGGATAGATTCACTCTTAGTGATCCTGATGCTTGGAAATTGGAAACATTCGTATTTCCCCCTGAAAATTGTTAAACAAAAGAGAGTGGAACGCAAGCACATTGCGAGGAAAATTCGTATCTTTCTTATTTGGTTGGCAAGATCGAAAGATGTAGATTCTGCCTCTAAAAATTGCTAAAAGACGATGGAACGTAAGCACCTTGTGAGGGAGATTTACGATTTCCAACGCTTGGAAATCGAAAGATTCACGTTTTCTGTCCCCAAAAGTTGGCAAACAAAGAACGCGAATCGATTCGCGTCTTCCGCAACGCTTGGAAATCAAAAGACGTAGATTCTTTCGTCCCCAACGATTGAGAAATAAAAAACCTAAATTCTTTCATCCCCAATGCTTGGAAATCAAAAGACGTAGATTCTTTCGTCTTCTGTCTCCAACGGTTGAGAACAAAAAATTTCGCATCCTTTGTCCGGAAATCGAAATATATAGATCCACGTCTTTCGTCTCCAACGTTTGGAAATTGAAACACGAAGATTCGCGTCTTTTATCCCCAACGGTTGAAAATCAAAAGAGGTGGATTCAAGTTTCTTGTCCCCAACGCTTGGAAATCAAAAAACGTAGATTCATATCTTCCCATTTTTTGGAAATCGAAAAACGTCGATTCCCAGCTTTCATTCACGATACGTTAATTTTCAATAATTTTCATAAAACCAAACTTTTCAACAACGAACCTAAAAACAGAATTATCTTATTTTTAGTTTTCGTTCTATCTTCGTTCGAAGAATCATTCCTTAAAATTTTAGAATTAATAAATCGAGGATACACGTGATGCAACATAAAAATTAATCCTAAGAAAATATATAATTTGTATTTCTAGGAACGTTCGTTGCGGATCGTTACAGTGTCAACAAGGTAGAAAACTGCCAACGGTAGCTGGAATAGATCACTCTAGAACAATAATCTCGATAAAAGGCGAGGAATACGAATGCAAGTGAGCACGTTTCGCTTATTATATATTTTTTTTATTCCTTTTTTCCTTATCTTTCGAACATTCTAAATAACATTTAACATTTTCATAAAGATCCACGACTGGAAAGGTGGAAGGATCCGAAATGCCAGGCATGGGATTGGTTCGCGATGGAACATCGTGCGGAGACAACTTGGTAAAGTCGAACTTCCTATTAAACTTAAACTTGTTAATACTTGTATTCTATATGGATAATCATCCTTGTCATTAATCGGATTATGCAAAATCAGGGAATAGAATGGCGCGAAAGGAACAAAGCTGTTTGCTTTCGATCTAGACTCTTAACTATGTCAAAACGAGAACGAGTAGGATGGAAGAAAGCTTGTATTGCACGTGACACGGCTTAATTGTTTCAGATTTGCGTGAACCAAACGTGCATAAGCCTTTATCCGCTGATGGGCAACGAACGGTGTCCTAGCAATCACAACAATCACGAGTGCTCGGGAAATGGGGTAAGCAGACTTTAGAATTAAACCTTGTAAAAAGCGAAAATGAATTTCAAATGAAACAAATGTATTTGTTCTCGCAAAGGTGTGCACAAATTTGAACAATTGCTATTGCAACCTTGGATGGAGTGGACCAGATTGCTCCATAGAGCAGGATATCCCGACTCGTCCGCCGATAACATCTAGCACCGAAGCGGCCGGTAAAAATGGTACAGATACTAAATTAGTGAAAAAAGAGACCCCCTACGGTAAGTTGCGAAGTTATGTAAATAATCGTTAGAGATCGATCGATTCTTTTTTAAAGAAATTTACACGGGATTGAGAAATTGAAGCGAGATTTTTAAACTGGAATTTTAGCTTCAATTTCTTATTACTCGTATCTCTAGTTTATAATCTATTTATAGGAAGGGATAAAGAAACATCGTAGAATAAGAATAAACGAATAAGCAAGTGATTACTGGATACGGTAAATATTTAAGATCGACAAACTTTTTTCTTCTTGTTCAAAAAAGAAGAGGACGATAGATTAGAATTGTTCGAGAAGATGTCTCCAAAAATTCTACCGTGTCCAATGATCCAAAAAATAAAAAAAGAGAGATTTTTCGCATTTTTCGAACGTCTGGATGTGCGTTTAATTCACGATAAGACGAAGACTCGTCCCTTATCCCGCCATTGATTATTTGGGGCCATACCATCAGCTGTGCACATAAAAATTCGAAACACGTATACATGTATATGCGTACATATACAGAATACGGGGTTAGATAAGCTTACTCGATTACACTTATCCACTTTTGATTGTCCACTGAAACTCCTCTCTCTCTCTCGAGGAAGAGAGGAGGGGGAAGTACGATCGTTGCACGTTGCAGGTAAAATTTGCTCAGCCAACGATTTTAACCACGTCTCTCACATGATGATTTTTAGCAAGACCCCTTATCAAGGCCGCGATGAGCCTTCATCGGATACTCTTCGAGACTACTTTTCCTTCAGTGAAATGGATTACGAATTGTTCACACTCCAATTGAATCGAATTCAAGGAAAATTGTGTATTGTTACACACGATAGATATTGTAATCCAGCTCACTTACGATGCATAATTTTTCTTTGACTAAGTTTGTGCAGATCGGTATTGTTGGAATTATTGTTGTGAATTTGTAATAGAAAATCGATTATTTTGTCTGTTGTCCTAAAAAACGTAGAGAAGACCAATGAAAAGTTAGATATTGGAAGGAAAAAAGAATATTAAACGTTTTGTTTTGTGAAAGTCTGAGCTACGATTTTATAATTGCTATAATTTATGGAAATTAAGATAAAGACGATTAGCATGTAAAACGTGTAAGAATTAACGAAACGTTTAGCAATTATTGAGACTACTTTGATGTGAAATTAAAAATCTAATGGAGAAAAAAAAAATTCCAATCTGCATAACCTTGGCCTCGTTGCGTTTCAGGAACGATGTTGGAATAATTTTTCGTAGGGCTACATATTTATCCATAGAAGCCAATCTCTTCTCAGGAATGATCGCAGATCCTCTTCGCAACGTTTATATAATTTTCACGAGAGAATAAATTGTGCGTAGCGTTGGCCTTAGAAAAGATAGATAAAATGGAAGAGGATCTCCATTTTACCGAGATCCAACATCCACCGGTATCTGGCACACTGGTAGATTACAAAATGGTAATGGTCGTTTCAGAAACAACTAACAACACTCTTAGCACCGGGACGATGGTATTAATCCTGGTGGGTGTGGTCAAAGGAGTCTTCATTTGTTTTGCACTAATGGCTGTTTGCTACAGGTACAGTAGCAAAAAAATAAAATTCTTGAGTGGGTTCGACCAACGCCTGTCATTGTCAAGTAATTCGTGGCTAGCTGGATGATGAGGCATCGCACGCGGCCATCAAATTGCTCTCATAATATTGACTCATCTTAGCCTTATTTAATCGATGTGTTTTACTCATATATATACATATATACATATATAAATGATATACGTATTATATATATTTATATATATATATATATATTATCGTACTGTTTCTCTTCGATGGTGTGCTCTGAATGTGCTCGTGCTCGCATAGCGCGTTTGAATGATCACGATGAGATCGTGACTATGCTGCACGAGCGAGGGATCTCATATTTCCACTCGATGGTCTCGCATACCAAGGGACGAAAGACGAAGATATATACTGTACACTGCCCATATCGTTGAGGAGAGAAGATGAGATATAATTAATTTTCGTCCCTTAGAGTGCGACATCTCATACACGATCCACTACAACGCCAATGTGCCAGCTGCTTGTATGCCCTATAAAAGCATGAATAAGGCTGATTAGCGAAGAAACGAACGTCGTCCCCTACGGATCGTCGGTCTCTGATCGAAAGAATCATTGTGTTGAAAAATAACGTATATCTGTAATGTTATAACCTATAACGGATCGATTTGATCGCGTCGATTTGATCCCCGATTCGTGTCTTCGTCGATGTCAATACGAGAAAAGTAGTTGGCAAAGGGTCTTTCGACTCGAACTCGCTAAACACGACGAGAATATCTAACCTCTCTCTCTCTCTCTCTCTACTACTCTACGAATTAAGTACGGAACGGT